GAACAACAGAAGTATGTGAAACTGGATTGTATTGAAGGACGGGTTGACTTTATGCGGTTTCATCTAAAAGTGTTAAATGTTTTATTTCACTTAATTAAAATGATACATATTTCATATATAAATATTGCATGATTTCTTTACATGTAAAGTACATTCAGTTGTTCAGTCATCGAGAGATTTTGCTGGTCTCCGGATGCAAAAGTTTCATGACTTTGACTTTCAAGCAACGGGGAAGAAATACAGTGACCTCGTGGGACCAGGCAATGTGGTGCTGACCGTTTTCTCAAACGATGGTAAGTTTTATTGAATTTGAAAGGAGGAAGGTATTCAAGCACTCTGAATAAATATATAATAAATTAACTATTTAATGTCTCTGCTCCTTGCGCTGGTCATTAATAGATTTTCTAATTCTTCAGAGTTTTCAGACTACTCTTCCACATCTGAGACATCTGACTCGAGCAGCTCAAGTGCATCAACTGTACCCTTAGATGAGGTCGCAGAGAACTGAGTACACATCTGCACTGTCTGATAAACAGGCCAAGCTTGATTTTTGTGCTACTCTTGAATGGCTAGTTCACTCAGAAACAAAAATTGTCATTCATTTGTCACCCTTGTTTCATACCAAATCTGTTGATAACCCACACAACTACCACTTTATAGCTCCAGAAAGGTAGTAAAGTCCTCATTAATGTGACTTCAGTGGTTTAACCTCAATTTTATGAAGAACAAAAAGTGCTTTTTTTTACCACAATTTTACCACTTTGTTTAAAAAAAAAAAGTCTCCAACGCACATCCACAAGAGCACCTCGACACGTTTTGTGTTTCCATGAGTTGTTGCAAAAATGTGTGTTATAGAATAATATTTTGTAAGTAAAGTGGTAAATTATGCTTTTTTGCGCGGACACGTCACTTTATAAAATTGAGGTTTATCCACGTCTCTTGGATTACATTAAAGGATAAAAAAATATAAATTTAAATACTACAAAATATAAACTTTCTCTTAGGCAACTCCCAGCTAAAGCTATCGGAGAACAGTATGCTCATGGCATCGTAATGCTGTTCCCTTCCCTCTGAGATCCATACTCTAAGGCCCTGTCCCAATACCCACACTACGCCCTAAGGCCTTCCTCGAAGTGGACACTCGTTGAGAGTGCACTTAGCGGAGAAAGTGTGCAAGGGCCCGAAGCTGTGAAGAGCAGAATTGGGACAGTTTTGCACACGTCAAAAATCTACTTCAATTCTGTTGTGATCAGCAAACACGGTTCATTTGGCTAATGTGTGTGCTGCTTATAATAGCTGTAACATGACACTATCCTTTGAATGAAAAAATCTATATCTTTTTTTACTCTTACTGTAGCTACCAACCAATCGATTAGTCATCCTGTTTCATTTGAATGAATGGATCATTGTATCGCGGCTGCGCGCATCCGAAAAATCTTTGTCCTTTGTTACTATTGATATGAAACAAAGTCAAATTACGTCCATTTTCTTTAGAAATTTAAAAACATAAATAGTGTTTTGTCGCTGTGGCGTGAGATCGCTCTGGAGAAGCAGCAGCGCTGATCTCTCTTCCGGCTTAATAATACCAGTCACAGCGCCAAATAAACATGAATGAGCATCTGAAAGTGTGTTAAAGATAGAGGACAACTTATCCAAATCCAGATCATGTCACATTGACTCTCTCAATCAGCGTTTCAACCGTGGAAAGACGTCAGTTAAACAGCTTGTAATCAATGTATCGTCATATTTACCTCAGAAAACCCACATAAACTCGTTAGTCAGCTAGAAAAAATAACTCTAAATATATACACCATATTACATATGCATTATAATCTTAATGTTCTTCAATATTTAATGCATATTTGAATAAATCTGACAAGTTTTTATGACAGCCACCATTTATTATTATTATTATTATAGTTTATTTAGATAGGGACAGATACACTTTGACAGTGATCTGATGCATGTATCAATGTTTTTAGCCAAAGCTAATTTACAACATTAGTCCCTAGAAGGGCTTTTTTAGTAAAATGCAATACATGCAATACAATACACTAGCAATACAAAACAATAAGGGCTTTTTGATAAAATGCAGTACAAGAATAAAAATACTAATAGAGAGAAAAATAATGGAATATAATATAAATGCCAAAAAAAAGGGGGAAAAAGTTACAAAAAAGGCAGAGTCGACAAGAACTAAATATGCGAACAACACTGTTTCTGAATTAACCACAATTTGTTTGTTTTTTTGAAGATATCTAGTGTCGGGGTGCATTTCAGAGAATTCCACAGTTTTGCCCCTTTCACTGAAACAGCAGTCTGAGCAAATGATGTTCAACAGAAAGGGATGTTACAGTTGACTTTAAAAGCAGATCTGGTCAGTCTAGTACTTTGTTGTCTTGTTATTATTTTGCAAAGCGGTAGTGGAGCAGCATCATTTAAACATTTAAAAATCAGCTTAATCAGATGCAGAGAAATAAAATTAACAAAACTTAAAATCTTGTATTTGCTTTGAATATGACAATGATGGTACCTTATTCTTTTCTTATCCAAAACTTTCAAGGCTCTGTTGTAAAGACACTCTATAGTTTCGACAGATGACTGATGAGCTTGAGACCATGTGGTTATGCCGTAAGATATATGCGAAAGAATCACAGAGTTAAAAAAAATAAAAGCACAATCAAGAGTAAGACAATTTCTAATCAGCATAAAGCAGCTCAAATTGGCCCTAACGGTTTTATAGATTTTCTTAATGTGACTTTTGAAATTCAGCTGATAATCTATATTTATTCCAAGGTACTTTACTTCAGGTACTTGTTCGATAAGTTCACCATTAATTTTTATGTTCAGGAGTTGTACTGAGGGTAGTTTTTGAATAGAGAAACAGATAGAGTTTGTTTTTTTAATATTTAAAGTTAAATGAGATGAGGCCAGCCAAGATGATATTCTTTCCAAGTAATAAATGGCAAATACAATAAATTTAAATGTTTATATTTCATATAATCTTCTTATTATAAAAATAAATAAAAGTGTAATTTAAGTGTTTGTATAGCTACAAAACAGTTCATTATTACCTTCATATTAGGCTAATGAAGCCTAGCAGCATACAACTAGACTCCTATAGTTTACAGCATTAGTTAAGAGATTTGATTTCCTTGAGAAAATTTGCCATTTATTGTAACTGATATCCAAAATAATCAATATTGAATCGAATCCAATCGAATCGAATTGCAAGCTTGTGAATCGAAATCAAATCGAATTGTGAAATTTGTGTCAATACCCAGCCCTACTAAAAAGTATAAGAAGCTATATAAGTCAAGAAATAAGGCAAGTTAAAAGATTCAGTCAAATATAACAGGCTAATGTTACAACGTTACAGTTAAATAGCCTAAATATAGTTATAAAACTTCACTTTCCCCACGATTTGGCAGGAAACAAATAACATATTAATGAGACCAAAGATCGCCCGTTAGATATACACCAGCCGATTTATATCTCACGTTTAACCACTAGACACAGAGCACGCGGGAAACGTCAGAATGACTGGCCGATGTAAGGCTGTTGCAGGCGGGGTACAGAGCGCTGAGCACCCGCCGCCCGGTGATCACCTGGAACTCCGAAAACGTCAGATAATGTTTTTAAATAGGCGCTATCTTTATAAATAAACCACAGATTTGAGCTTTAAACAACTATATTCTTGAGTGAAAAACTCTTAAAACTACATTTCGTGACTCAATGACACTAATATTTTTACATTTCGCGGCCTTGGAAGAACACTCCACCACACCGGCTTCCTTTATCTTCAGAGTTTCCGCTCCCGGACAGCACCATAGCAACCGTTCGCCCCCATTGGTTAGCTGTTCGAAACGTCACAACACTACAAGGATTCTGGGTAATATCCCATAGCAAAGTGAGGTCTGATGCGCACTTGCGAAAAGGGTGTATTAAGTGCCCTTATGATCACCCCTGGAGAACACTATTAGAGGATCGGGACACACCCCTAAGCGAGACCGCGCATTGAGAGGCACAAGAAGAGAAGGTGGCGTGCACAGAAGCGATGTCAAGGGGGTCTCCTGATTGGAGGAGCTCACCAAGCGTTCACTTATCGCGTCTTTAGCGCGCTCGAGGTCGTTATTTCAAATGTAGGCGCACGGAAAGCGCGCTCATTATTGAAGCGACACGCTCATTTTTTCCAGGAGCAACGAGATGAAAAATTGTAAACTTTCAAAGGGGGTCTCGCCCAGGTGTAATTCAATGTAGAAGCACCATGTTAACCCGCTGCGGTCGGTGATACCAGCTCACTTTTTCCCTTAGTTCAAAAGAGACTCAAATTACTCTGCTGATTTTGATCTCACATATTGTGTTATACATAATTCGATCCTGTTAAGTGTCTATTTATTGTGTGTGTGTTACCCTGTAAAAAAGAAATGTGATGATAACTTTTATATACAACAGACGTACAATTTTTGCCTGGAATATATTAACAGAATAGATACCTGTTAATTTTAAAATAATTAAATTAAATAATTTGCAGTAGCCTATATCTGGTTGTGTACCCAAATTACCCAAAACTTGACTTGTTCCCTTATTCCTACACGGAAGTACACTATAATTAAAGAAACGTACACCGTAATTTCGGTTTACTTACAGTTGTTTGCGGGTCGTAATATAAAGTGTTACTGTAGACTTATTTACCGGCGGATGTAGTTAGAGAACCTGAAGGGAACTTTCCAAACCATCAACGATTATTTGATCTGGGAACCAAAAATTGTTTACTGGGTCTTATACAAATTACAACATTTGATCGCATATTTTTTCAAAAAATCGTTTCCCTCAACTAAAACCTTCCACACGCAAGAGCTGCAGCGGTCGCGTCGTGGCGTCTGTTGCCGGTATTATATCGACAATATGATGATGTGTTTGATGATTTAAAGTCCGTTTCTCAGATAAACAGCAGGCAGTAGCGCGCGCGGTCTCGTGCACGCGTGTGTGATGCGGCTCGTTCAGCAGCCATGGACGCGCTCAGCGGGCGCGCGCTCACACACTCCGTGGTGTCAGTCTGTCGATATGGACCGAGATCAAACACTGGGAATGTAATGGCACTGGTCTCAGGAGGTGTTTAATCTTCATCGATGGACACTCGGCGTCCCACACCAGAGGTAATGTCGCTGTGTTTACACTGTGTTTCTGTGTTCGCGGTGGAGATCGCCATAAGCTGCTTATTAACACAGCAACTCCTCATCCTCATCCAGCGGGTGCTGTCTGGACCATAACTCACGGGGTTTGACCATAGACTGTACAAAATGGGGTTGACTGATTCAGCGCATGATGTGTCTCTAATGATCGTTATTGATAATCATCATCATTCTGACTGCACGCGATCATATCCAGTGAGTGACAGCTGAGTTATGAAAACTGTCTGATCATCTGTTGTTATCAGCAAGACGGAGTGCAAGCTAAAGGAGTTCAATGTTATGCTTCCCCGTACGATAACATGTTTTGCTTTAGCTGGTCTCGAAATGTTGAATGAATGAAACCTTTATTGCCCCAAAGGGGAATTTGTTTTACACTCATGGGAACCATAATAAACATAACCACAAAAAACATAAAATAAACATAAATAAAGAAGAATAAAGACAAAAGTGACATGGAATATATCAATTTGACAACTTAAGAAATCAGTAAAAATATATATATATTCAGTAATAGGCTACCCTTCAAAAAAAAAAAAAAAAAAACCTCTAAAATATTCCGCAGCTTAAAAGAATCAATAAATAGATATATATTCAATAATGCACATTCAAAATCAATCTATGTGCCCATGGATGATTCGTTAAGTAGTTGAATGCTCCTCGGCACAAATGAAGTGATGTGTCGTTTAGTTTTAGTTCGGGGCATTCTAAATCTACGTCCAGAGGGGAGGTGGGAAAATTCTGTGTGAAGTGGGTGCAATGGATCCTCCAGAATCCTCAGTGCCAACTTGACGGTATACTGGTCAGTAAGATTTGTGACGCTTTTCACATCAGATCTAGTGATTCTCCTACCCATTTTTGTCACCTTATCCAGCATGTTCCTATTCTGGATAGAAAGACCTCCCCCCCAACACTGGATTTCAAAAGTCACCACACTCTGAATAAAAGTCAAATAGAACAGTGTCAGGGTACTATTCTCTGCATTAAAACTGCGCAATTTTCTTAAAAAAAAGAGCCGTTGCTGTGCTTTTGAGTATCTTGCTAATGTGTTCGCCGACCAAGTGAGTTTATGATCAATAATGGTACCCAAGTACTTATACTCATTCACAGTCTCAATAACTATCTCATTAATAGTAACCGGTTGCAATGGAAGGGGCTTTTTTCTAAAATCTATGACCATTTCTTTTGTTTTTGAAATGTTTAAAAATAGTGAATTTCCACAACACCATTCATAAAATTGGTCAATCTCAGATCTATAGTCCTGATCATTATCTGTTAAAAGCCCAACCAAGGCAACATCATCTGCAAATTTAATCAATGAGCATTTGGAATGATGGCTGACACAATCATTTGTATGCAGAATAAATAACAATGGTGATAAAATGTTAAAATGTTCAGAATAGTTTTAGTATGGTCCTGCAGTGACACATGTTAAAAGTCGAAGTGAACTCGAACTCAAACAAGCTGTGTGTGCAGAATCATTCATCAGCTCGAGCATGTGAAACAGTGGCAGATGAGCAACTTCCCATGATCATGCCAGCATACACACTTCTTCAGTCTGTTATGGAGACAGGAGTGACCGTGATGGTGAACGAGCACAGGGGGATATAGTGCTGAGCTGAGTGACCACAGGTTTGGGGGTTGGTCATGATGTCAGAAGCAGGGATTGCAAGTTTGATCAAAAGCTTTACATGCATTTAGGGGAGGAGCCCCAATGGAGTCCCGCCCATCCCCGCCCCCCAATTTCACCCATTGTTCATAATTAACCTTAAAGGGTAACTAAACCCCTGGTCAGAGCCTGACTCCACCCACTGGCAATATTTGAAAAATGCTGGAAAAGTGGGGTGGGGGGTGCACCTGAGACGCATCTCTTTAGGTGTGTTCGACATCGCCTGCGGCTGGATGCAACCGATCGGCGAGAGGAGCTGCAAACGGAGACGTGAAGTCGGACATTTCCTGGTTCCCGTAGTGACGGCTCACGTGGTGTTTGCATGCTTTACCACAGCTGAAGTGAAATAAATGCAACATTTGCCAAATAAACAGATATTTCAGACACATTTTCATTCAACACTTTACTGCTTCATACAGCATCTGTTTGAACTAATAAAGTTCAAAATAAGCCTAATCAATGACGTGGAGTCAACGTTTTTTAATCAGTTTTATTTTGATAAACATGATAAACATGACACAATATAACATTGCGACTACATGAAAAGAGTGTTTACTGTTATAAAATACTGATTTATGAGCTTTAGTGGAACCAAATGTATGAGAGTAAACACGAAACGCACGTGATCGTTGTCATGCGGTGAATCCGACGAATCGTGGAACAGCTGTGACATCATCAGAGCTCGTGCAGCCGATCGGTCTGCGCAGAGCTGCATGAAGTCGAACAAGCCTATTGTATGGAACTTGCCTACATCACCAACAACCGCTGTGTCACGTACTACCGCAAACATCCAATAGGAATATTCAACTGCAGTAGCCACCGTTCAACCTGAAGAGGGCAGCACTAAGACGCTTTTACACCATATATTAACACTTTATAAACAAATGCCAAAAAAGTTACTCGAATCAATGACTGGTATTAATAAAGATCCATTCTTACAGATCATTAACTAAAAAAAGTTGGTTAAGTGTTTAGTTACTCTTTAAAGCAGCATTATGTTACTTTTGAATTGTTGCCCTCGGGGTCCCCCTAGAGTTGGGAAACAGTATTGTCTCCTACTGCTGTTGTAAAATCTGTCATGGTTATGTCTCCATCACAGGTACATTGGCATATATTTCAGCATGTGTTATGAATAAGCCCGTTTCATGGGCTTTATTTTTTTTCAAATTTTTTCAAGATTGCGAAGCTCATGTTTACAAGGCAGCGTCTTTATAGTAATGTTAGCCTATTGGCTACTGTTTTACATAATGGATATGCTACAATACATTAGATACAATAGATGATGGCGCGTGCTGCCCGCCCCGGCTCTATGGGGATGCTTGAGTGTGTTAAGTGCCCTCAAAAGAAAGCAATCCAGTCTACACTGGATGCGGCGAGGGGCGAAGCTGCACATTGCTAACAGTAAACTGATAACGCAGGCTCTGTTTCTGACGCACTTCACATTTGCTAGACGGGGGAAGATTGATGCACCGGACCGGAGTCGGGGGACTTAGTTGCGTTTTTGTGGAGTAGTATTACGAATTAATGTTTTTAAAATAGTATTAGTATTAAAAAAATCACTCATTCGCTCATTTTGGCGTACCATTTGGATGAGCTAATGCTGGACCAATATTGATCCTCATCCAGCCTTTTATTTTTCCACTCTCCCTTTTTCTCTTTCTTCTGTCCTCCGACAAAACCTTTTTACTTTCTGCTTCAGACATGACAACATTGAGAGGAAAAAAGTGCTCGTTGGGCTCTCGCGTAGGAAGTGGGGGAAGTGGCGTATGCCGTAAAGTAGTCGAATTTTGTAGTTCTTTTTGTGCTCGGGTTCCTACCCGCTCCCGAAGTTACGTATAGTGCCGGTAAAAGCGATACAGACCCCGTCAGGCTATTTTCATTCAACCTATTGTAAGTCGATATACCATCTCAAGGGTTTTGGAAAAATATTATAAAGGTTGAAAAAGTTACATAGTGCTGCTGCTGTGCATACATTGGTTCTAGTCAACAAAACAAATCATCAGCTAGTGTTTCTCAAACTCTTTCTGCCATTCACCACTTCAGAGGTAGGAAAGGGTTCTGATCCCCATCCTCAATTAACCCAACAAAATGTTAACAAACTTGGCTTCAAATTTAACTGTTAAAATGTATTTTATTTACATCACATTTTAAAAACTTTACATCAAATTACAGCATGAAAAACTTTCAAATAGAGAAAATGAAAGTGCAATTCTATTGTCACTTTGCATGAAATAAGACTCAAAAAGAGATTAAAAAAATTGTGTTTAAAATACAAGTGTGGACTAACGTTAGGTGTGCTTTGATTCATTTTGTCACTTTGCAAACTCCATGCAAAAATAAAAAATAAATAAATAATAATCTAGGAAATGAGTTATTAGTTATTGTGTAAATAAACAAGCTACTGTAACACAGGTAGTGTTTGTGGTGTCCTGCTAACTGATGAGCTGTAGAGCTACTACGATACCGCACAAACACACTAGGCTGTTTTATTCATCAGTAGGGCTGTGTATTGGCAAGAATCTGGCGATACGATACATATCACGATTCAATATATTGCAATATATTCCGATACTGTCCATAAGGCGATATATTGGGATTTTTTTTTAAGTAGGACTATAATTTTAAAAAAAGTAATATTTAAAAAATATATATATATATGATGCGAATTAAAGTTTACTGAAACAATTCAGTACTCAGAAAATCAAACTACCAGTTTGGGATTGTGGTTCACAGGTTCATTACAAAAACTTTGGTTAAATGTGTTTTTAGAAGTTGGTCATAAACTTTAGGGGGTCGCACACTGGGCAAGCGCAGCGATAGGAAAACTAGCTATCGCACACCAGACGCGCACTTTCTCATCAGTGTATGGCCAGCAATATTGTTGTGTTTAATGACATGAAATGAAGATAATGTCTGTTCTATGTTATGATTGTACTGTACAATTAAATACAATCCTTGCTGAGTCTGCAGTCTGAAAACTTTACGTTGTGTAAAGTGTTGTTCGAATTTTAAAGATGTGGTGCTGAGCTTCTCGTCTGGTGTGCGACGCCCTTATAGACTCCCCGCCGAAACCGCCGTTTCACTGTTGCTCACGCGACGGTCCTGCTTGACGCTTATGCGCGGCTACTGCTCGCGGTGTGAATGAACACACTCATTGATTAACATGCACGACGAAAAAATACCCCGCTGCTCACGCGCCGAACTTGTTAAGAGTTCACAACTGCATGGTTCCTGTCGATATCGTTAGTGCCCTCTTTACTCCGGAAACAAATGATTCCACACTTAGAGTTGGAATCGAATAGAGCGGCAGCCGGTCTTTACACGGGGTTCAGCCATAGCTATGTTGCTTCTAGCAAAACGTTAGGTTAGTGGTGCGTCAATGCATTAAAAAAAAAATAATCGATATTTCGTTTCTGAAAATCGATACAGTATTGCAAAATAAAGTATTGCGATACTCAAGTGTATCGATTTTTTTCTTACACCCCTATTCATCAGTGTGTAGATGTGTGTTCATGAAAGACATCGGGTTTGTGTTGATCAGTGTGTGTTGATGAGGAAGGAGCGCAGTGAATGCCCAGCTCTTCAGTAATACCTCAGTAAGCAGCGCGGGCCTCAGAAGATCTGCTGCTATAAATAAGAGCACATATGTCTGTGACGTGAGCTAATCTGCCTCTGAGCTCCTGGATCTGTTTCTCTCAGTGCTCACTCTCTCCTACTGTTCCTCAGCTGACGCTGCTCTCCTTCAGTTCTCACGGCCGTCTCGGTCAGGCTCCGATCTCACAGCACAAGATCAGTCATCAGGATGAGCCGCGCTGACTCTGATGTCATCAGGTTAAAGGGTTAGTTCACCCAAAATGAAAATTCTGTCAGTATTTAGTCACCCTCAAGACCTTTGTTCATCTTCGCAACACAAATTAAGATATTTAAGATATTAAGATCGCTCCTGCATACTAGTCCATAGGCTTCTTGAGGGAATGACTCTTGCTGGCATCGAAAAGTCATTAAAGACATCGTTAAAATAGTCCAAGTGACTACAGTGGCTCAATCTTAACTTTATCAAACGACGAGAACGCTTTTGTGCGCAAAAACAACAAAAATAACGACTCTATTTCA